TTACTTGATAATCGACAGCGATAAGAGGATGGTGAGGAGGGAAGGCTCTGGTTGACCCCTTTCTGTGCACCAGCAGAGTCCGCTCCTTTCCATCCACTACATGTTGCTCCACTTTGGCAATGTTGTGAGACACATCATAGATAACGTGCATATCAAGGTCATCTGGGGTTGTGTTGAAGACTTTGGCAAAGGCCTAAAAAGAGAGCAAATCAAGACGTGAAATACAAGAAGGTAACTGCTGCGTAATGTGGAAGATTTACAGTCTTTTTAGGAACTAAAAGGAAAACATTTTCTTGAAAGTGTTTGTTACTAGTAAGTCAGTGACCTAAACACTTGGCATGGCAGGTAAGAAACTTAAATTCAGCCACAATGGAATTGAATACAACAGTGCTGGGTGTGGCAGAATTGGACTGTCTAGATTTTTTATCTGCCCATTGGCAGCTTTAATGCTGGAATTCAGTAAGATATCAGCTGGACAAATCCTTGCAACTCTGAAAAGATGGGTTCACCAGTGTAAAACCAATTTGCTTGTACCCTCTTCTTCCAGTTCAAGGCATTTTCAAAAATATTGTGTAAGTGGCTTCTGCAAGTACAATCCAGTGACGTTGAGACGTTTTAGATGGATTGCCGTGACTTCAGCTTTTAAATCTCTCCAGAAAACACAGTTTAAGAAGCACAAAAATGAAAATGATGTTAAATACTGCAGCTACTCTGTGTTCCATATTTCTGGGATAAAGCAGGAGATGTGTACCAAAATAATTGCATCAGAGACAACTCTGGTCCTACCTGTCTTGTTAGAAAAGTCATAGAAGAGTTTCCAGCAGCTGCCATTCCCTTCAAGTAATCCTGTCCCTCTGCAGAGGCAATCCTGGCACATGCCAGCTGGCGATCATTCACTATGATTTTGTCCCGTTTCATAGCCTTTTCCATAGCCACCAAAGCATCTGGGAAATAAACACAGTACGTCTAAGTGACTTCTTCATTTTGTTTCAATCTATGAGATTAACATGGGTGTCTATAATTTATATTCTAAAACTGAACTCATCTGTCCGATGGTCAAACCTACAGCTTCTTCTCAAATGCAAAAGCAGATCTGTGGCAGAACATTATCAACTGTTTGCAAACAGACAAACCCCGTCAAGGCGACTCAGAACAGACTCAGCAATTATACTGTAAGAAATGCTCTTTGATGCTGGAGTTTACTGTCAGGGACAAGACCACGCTGAAGAGAGTTTGCTTCACGTCAGGTACCTATGCCAATCAGATCATACCTGTGGCAACTTGGTGGCCCAGGCCTCTGCTGCCACTGTGGATCATCACGCACACCTGCCCTTTATGGTCGATGCCCATCTTCCTGGCAGCATATTCGTTGTAAATGTCATCCACAACCTGGATCTCGGCATAATGATTTCCGGCTCCCAGGGTCCCCAGCTGCCAATCACAACACACTGATCAGAGACTGCTAGTCAACCAGCCTCTGGGAGCACAGGGGAGAGCTAGGGGAACATGGGAAAACTGCTACAGCAAGGTTTTGGGTTTAGAAAAGCTTTTCCAGGAAAAAAAAAAAGTAATCCCCATATAAACTTAAAGGAAGTAGAATACAGCAGTATTAGCACTGTCCTCTTTGTTCAGATTTATAACTATTTTTACTAATTTATAACTATTTTTACCGTTTATAACTATTTTTACTGTTTTACTATAAAATAGTAATTTTTTTTTTTTTTACTATTTTATACCTGTTTTTACTAGGACTAGGATCTACAGAATGTGCTGCCACTTTTTTCCAACTTACTTAGGCCTAGTTGAATGATGGGAAGAGTACAGAGAATTGAGAATTCATCTTCAATTTGTATCGGCAAGGCAGACACATAGTCTTATACCTGGTTATAACTCCACAAGGAAGTTACAACATTCTGTTAATTAGGTACTTACAACCTTTCAGTAGATTAAAGTAAGGTATTCCATTTCCAAGCCCAAATTTTTTTCAACTGTGTAACAGACAATCACTTACTTGCAAGGTTAATGTGAAAATATGGGACATAAGATTATTTCAAGGTTAAAATGCTACAACCTTGCAGCACCACAATTCATCAAACTCAAGAAGTCATGTAAAGAAAAGCTTTACAAATAGTAGCATTAGTATAGCCATCTCAAGTGTTCCACCCAGAGCAATGAGATAGTATGTATAGAAATGAAATCCAACTCTTGAAGTGCAATTCAAAGTTATGAGCTAGTTCTATTTATTGTGATATCCTTCCTTGTCCTGCTATTAATTTGCTGAGCAAACAAGGAGAAAAGCTGCAGAGTAACTTGCCTGCCTCTTAAAAACTACATCTGAATGGGGAAATGCCACCAAACATGAATTCCAGTACCAGGTGTTAACTGATGAAAAACTGATGGCCCCAGGGACCTTGGGTACGCCCAACGTTATTTCCCTCTGTTACAGTTCTGTCAAGAATTGCTCAGAAACAGCCCTACCATCTCACCTTTCCCCCGCCCAGAAACGCCAGGCAGACTTTCAAGAAAAGACACAAAATTAGAGAACTACCCACTAACCTTTACATTTGCACCCTGGCAGCACTCACAGCCCTCCTGAAACATAACGTTACCTGAGGCAGGCCCCTCTTCTTTGCTCTTGAGGAGACCTTGTTGGGGTCAGCCTGCAGCATTCTTCCATATTCCTCACAGTGCTCCTTGTCCTCTGCCCAGGCATAGCCTTCCCGGAGAGACCAGTCCACACCCATCTCCAGCGCCTCTTCCAAATCCCTGCAATTATCAAACACCTACATAAGGTAGTTATCCTTGGATATACTCAAAACTCCACTGGATATGGCCCTGAGCAACCTGATGTAACTTTGTTGTTAGACCCGCCTTTACAGTTAGCCCTCTTTCGCACATGGAGTTGGATGAGATGACCTCGAGATCCCATCCAACCTAAATTATTCTGTGATTTTATGATCAGCCCCCAACTCCCCTAACAAGAAGTCCAACTTCTTAATATTTACTGAAAATCAAGCTCTACAAATATACTAATTTTAGATAGGTCATTACTTTTTCTCTCTCATCCCGTTCAAAAAAAATACCTTTACGTTCATGGAGGTTTTGTGTCAGAAGAAATGAGAACCTTTAAAGAACTTTTAGTTAATTCAGGGTTTTAAATAGAGGAAGAAAGAGCTGACTGTGCATTCATGATTATGCCAGTCCTCCAAGGGAAGCACATAAGCAGCAAGAATAGAAAGAATTTTTTTATTACTTTTTCTTTCTTAAAGTCTCCCACTAGTGAATCTTTCATCAAAATAAACACCAGCGATGTCCCCTCTAGTGATGTGTGCACAAAGTCATTCTCTTACTTGGCATTCATAGGGATGACACCTTTGGAGCCAACACCAACAGGAATGTGGTCAAACATAGCCTGGGCGAGCTGCTCTTTCACAGGCTGCACATCACTTTCATCCAAATTTGTACGCAGTAAGCGAACACCACAGTTGATGTCAAATCCGACACCACCTAAAAGTGTAGAAAAAGCTATGGAGTTAATAAAGAAAGTGTGCTGATGGTGAGCACTTGCTGAATTATTATCTTAAATCAGTGTCCCTGCTGACAGGGAGTATGTACTGAATGCTGTCATCTTACACCTTCTTTCTGACACAATACTGGGAAAAAAAGCAGAACTGCATTAAGCTTCATTTTAATAGATTTACACAAAGCCTCAGAATTCAAGACAGCCAAAATATGTAGTCTTGCAGACAAAAACTTGAAAACTCTCTAAAAAAACCCAGTTTTTCAGTCTCGAGCATATGCTCTGCAGACACAGCTGCACAATTGCCTGCAAAGCTCTGTGTTTACAAAGTTGTTCCAGCAAGTACAAAGAGAGAAGTAGACACAACTATAAAATATATTGTCCACGGAAAGTAGAGAGGATGTTCCTGTTCTTCTGTGTAAGGTCAGAAGAAAAGCGACAGGTCCCTGATCTAAGATGTTCTTGAAAGCAAGACCCTGAAACAAAGTCATTTTTGAATCCACACTGGAATAAATATAAGTATTTATAACAAGTGATAAATACTTACAAAAAATATTAAACTTCAGTGCTTAGCGTTTCACTTAACTCTTAGTATTTAATAAAAATAAGTACTGCAGGGCAAGGCCTAGCATGAAAGACTAGTCATGCCACCTTTACTAGAGAAGGTTCTGCTATTAGCTAGTGTCAGAGGGGGGAGAGCAGACCAAGAGATCTTGGGTTTGAGTCAAGCAGGAAAACAGGAACTCCCTACAGCAAACCTGAAACACGAACAACAGGTACAACCACAAAAGCACCTCCACACCATCAGTAAGTAAAGACCCAGGTGTTTATTAAAAAGACAGAAATATTTTAAGGTCACATTTTTAATAAAGTGTAGAAATAGTCTCAAATGTTTTCAAACATTGCTCAAAGAAAAGAGTCAATTCTTTATCAGCCTGGCAAAACCCAGGTTCAAAGTTTTGTGCTCTCCCTTCAAAACTGAGAGATATTATAAGCCCAAGCAAAAAACACAAAGGCAATTTTCCCTGTACTGTTTAGATATTTTCAGTGTAACCATCTGTTCCACAAAAAATAAAGATTCTGAGTGCAAGAATTAAGAGCCTTTTAATGCCCTATAACTCACATATTTTTTGCTTTGGTTCTGCATATAAAGTACTGTAAAGACCTGCCATATCAAGAAGTGTTTTTATGCCACCACAGACATTCTTCAGGGCAGGTTAAGTCAGCCATAAAACATCCTTACCTGGTGACACCACTGCCTCGGGATCATTCATATCAAAGGCAGCCATGTTGCCTATGGCAAACCCATAGCCAGAATGGACATCTGGAAGGCCTATTGATCTCTGAAAGAGAACAAAGGAAACTTTAAAGTTTTATGAAACTGTGCTGCACAAAGACACCTTGGTTATGCTTTGCCATGTGGCAGCGGTTGCCACATTTACAAAGAAATATACCAAAAAAAGAATGGATGTTAAGATGAAGATGGAGTACACATATCAATTCAGGTAATTATCTAAACTCCTACAGTTACTGGAGTGACAGTCAAAGAAGGCAAAGAAGTAGCTGATCTCACTCTGAAGCAAACACCCTGTGGCTAGTCAGCTGAGTAGCCCCCTTGGCTCCACTGACCAGAGGTCAGGAAAACTTAAGAGAAGCTGAAACACCCCAATATAGGAATTGTGATCTCAAACTGAATTCTAATATAACTTCTCCTTGGACTCAGGAGTCCTTGCATTCAAAACTGATGCAGACAATAGCCTATGAGTAGGGTAAAGCTGAGACATAAGAGTGAAGATGAGTTTGTCTTTACCAAATTCCAACTTTGCAATTTCTAAATACTGTAAATGTAACAAGGGAAGAGTTCAGTGCTATGGAATGGAATCATACAACAGTCAGCATTTTCTCTTCTTAGCTATGTCATTGAACACTGACCAAAGACTGCACCTTGTAGGCAGGAAAAAGTCATCCATTTAGGACGATATCCTGATAGGATAGGAGCTGTGCCATTTTAATTTATAAAAGAATACCTTCTACTGAACCTTTTTATATTACTGCTCATTAAAGGAAGTAAGCATGTGTTTCTACACAACTCCACAAATTCGAGGTATGTTTAGCCTGTCAAGTTTAGATTAGGACACCACAATTGGGACTCCACAATCTATTTAAACAACCAAAAAAGCAATCCCCAAACACAGTTGGGGCTGTTCAGCCTGGAGAAGAAAAGGCTCCGGGGAGATCTTATTGCCGCCTTCCAGTACCTAAAGGGGGCCTACAGGAGAGCTGGGGAAGGACTTTTTCCTAGGGCATGTAGTGATAGGACGAGCGGGAATGGCTTTAAACTGGAAGAGGGCAGGTTTAGATTAAACATTAGGAAGAAACTTTTCACTATGAGGGTGGTAAGGCACTGGAACAGGTTGCCCAGAGAAGTTGTGGATGCCCCATCCCTGGAGGTGTTCAAGGCCAGGCTGGATGTGGCCTTGGGCAACCTGGTCTAGTGGGAGGTGTCCCTGCCCATGGCAGGGGGGTTGGAACTCGATGATCTTCAAGGTTCCTTCCAACCTAAACCATTCTATGATTTTATGAACACCCAGAAAGCTGTCAGAAATCGGAAATTTTCAATGTGTGTAAAACTGTTAGACATTAAATACATAATAATACATTAAAAAGAACACTATTTTTCAGTGGGACTGTGTGCGGCTTCTGCCTTCCCTAACCATCAGTAGGAAATCTCTCAGTTTGAAAAAAAAGTAGTGAAGATTTGAATAGATAGATGATCATAACATCTCTCCTATGAACTACCAGCCAAAATTCCCATTTTAACAGATTGCTACTGTTCTACTTTAGTCCCTTTTGGGTTAATCACCAAGGCATTTTAACAGCATGACAGGCTGCCTTTCACTGCAGCCAGAAATTCCTAACTCTTGCCAAGTCACCAAGACAAACAATTAAAAAAAAAAAAGTCACAAATAATGGAATTGTTTTAATATATGCAATATTAAACATGAAAAAGACCATTTCTACATTGTACTTAGAGCTTCTTGAAAAGTGATCCTGCCTAGTATTCTCCTCCTGCATCATCATATCTGATGCCTTGCTTCCAAAAATGCAAAGGGTGAGTGAAAGGAGTGTTGAGTGCATGGGAAAGCTCACTACCAACATTAGAGCAGCAACAATAATACAGACAACTATACTGCCTCCTGCTTTCTCCTAACGTCTCCTTACATTCCAGGTCAGCAGAGACAACTCAAAAAACAACAGACAATAAAAGCAGTTGGGAAAAGGTGGCTCAAGCAAACCAAAACAGCATAAAGCAATGCTAAAAAAGCCTTACATCAAAAGGCAGCCAGTGGAGTAAGTGGATACTTCCCTTTCTGACAATTTAGTTTTAGAGTCTACAACTTTGGTCCATACCCCTTCTCACAACGGAGTTCCCATTTGGATGGCAATAATCACTGGCAAATAGGAAAAGAAAAAGAGCAAATCTCTGTAGGAGTTACTCACATGAACAATACCAGGTAATGCAGCCACATTCCCAATCTGTTTCATAGCAGGCAAAAAGCCGCCCGCACCTGAAAAATAGAAAAAAAAAAAAGTCAGTAATCTGGTAATTTTCCATGGTAATCACAATGAAGCACTTTCCAAAGAGGATGCTCAAAACACTAGCAAATCAGAAGTCAGTCACCGACAAACATTCTAATCTGGTATAAAGCACCTTGCGTTATGAACGATCTGCAGTTTCATTAAATGAAATATTATGCTGAAGTTCTCCTTCTTCTGTGTTCGTACCAATGCAGACCGAGCTGCGCTAACAGCCGAAGTGCGTTACCACCGGCCCAGCTGTCACATCTGGATCCAGCCCTGCGCTCCAGCCCCACACAGAAGAGACAGGCCCGGGCTCCCGCCCCCACCAAAATAAACTCTGAGCACAGGCATTCAGGTAGTGCCGCATTCAGGGCACGCCTCGGAGCACAGAAGGCAGCTGGGCAAGGCTGTGCCCACCCATCTGATGCGGGCATAGGACACGGTACAGCCGCCGGTGG